GTATCACGTGGGGTGTTGTTTCAAATGCCGTCTTGCAGTCTTAAGAAAATACTACCCATCCAGCCCTCTTACTCCTGTTTCACATCCGTCATAATATTCCAGCAAGTTGGTAAGAAAAGATTTACCATTTCTGAACTGGTGCTGGTCACTCTACATGAACCACTTCTTCCCAGCTGCTCTATATAGCACTTTCCTCTTGACTATCTTCTCTTGAACTTCAATGATTCGCCGGTACATGTCTCGGTACGGGTCGTTTCCAGATGACTATCTTCTCCATTACTTTCTAAGGTATGTAAGTCAGCGATACTGGCCTGTGTGTGTGTGTGTGTGTGTGTGTGTGTGTGTGTGTGTGTGTGTGTGTGTGTGTGTGTGTGTGAAGAGCAGTGACGGACACATTTAAGATTATGTTTAACATGCAGAGGTTTATAAAATATGCATTTATTTATATACTCAGAAGGATTGAGAAGCAATCAGGAGCATATTTGTATTAATCTGCAAGTCACTCATCATACAAAGCTGTTTTACTGACATAAAGTGACTCCCTAATTATTTAGTAAGACCCCCTGTGAGATGTTCCAGTAATGTTGTGATTAACACTTGTGTGACCCGGTGCAGGTGTGGTTGTACCCAGAGGAGGGTTGGGCCAGGGTGTGTTGCAACAGTCACTGGCTCCTCAAGACACCTTGGTGGTCCACAAGACACTGCTATATACTCGAGGTGGAGGGCACCAAGAAGTGAGTACTGTGTCTTCCTATAGGCAAGCATTATTAATATTATTATTATTATTATTATAACTATTATTATTATTATTAGTAGTAGTAGTAGTAGTAGTATTGTTATTGATGAAATGATGATTTTTTTATAAATTTGATAGAAAATGTTTGCCTGAGAGTAATATAGAGATGTATTACAGTGAGAGCATCTGCGGCAGGACTAAAGGTAACAAGACCTGCAAGTGTTGAGCAAGTGTGATCTCTTAGTATAGTTAGTGAGGTCATGTTCCTCTAGCTTGTCCTAGAAGTTCATCTGCATCAGCTAAACCAGACTTGGCACATACACACACACCAGAGGGAGATTAATTGGGAAAAACCTGGAACCACATGGGGGTCCCGAAACATGGAGAGCCAGGATGATGGATGTGGTGCAGGCTAACCTCATGCACCAACATGTTAGGGACACTACCAGAGAGAGAGGGGAGGATGAACCAGCAAAACTGGACCTTGTGTTCAGCCTGAGTAACTCAGACATTGAGCACATCACATATGAAAGGCCCCTTGGAGCTAGTGACCACGTGGTTCTGAGCTTTGAATACATTGTGGAGCTAAAATTGGAGAGGGTAACAGGAGTAAAAAGGCAAAAGCCAAACTATAAAAGGGAGGACTATACAGCAATGAGGACGTTCCTGCAGGAGGTTCAATGGGAACAGGAGTTGGTAGGAAAATCAGTAAATGAAATGATGGACTTCGTAACAACAAAATGCAAAGAGGCAGAGCTTTATCATACCTCGTTTTAAAACTATGTATGGCTCCTGCCTGCAATCTTCAGCTTCACAGACCGGGCCGCGGGGGCGTTAACCCCCGGAACTCTCTCCAGGTAAACTCCAGGTAAACTACATCACTTGCCAGACTATTCCACTTCCTAACAAATCTGTGGCTGAAGAAATACTTCCTAATATCCCTTTGGCTCACTTAAATCCTCAGCTTCCAATTGTGACCCCTTGTTTCTGTGTCTCATCTCTGGAACACCCTGTCTTTGTCCACCTTATCTATTCCACGCATCATATCGTATATCGTTATCATGTTACCCCTGACCCTCCTGTCCTCCAGTGTCGTCAAACAACTTCGTAGGACATTCCCCTTAGCTCTATAACCAGCCTTGTTGAAAACATTTGCACTTTCTCTAATTTCTTGACATGCTTGACCAGGTGTGGGTTCCAAACTGGTGCTGCGTACTCCAGTATGGGCCTGACGTACACAGTGTATAGAGTCTTGAACGATTCCTTACTGAGGCATCGGAACGTTATTCTCAGGTTTGCCAGGCGCCCATATGCCGTGTGTGTGTGTGTGTACTCACCTAATTCACCTAATTGTACTCACCTATTTATGGCTGTAGGGGTCGAGACTCAGCTCCTGGCCCCACCTCTTCACTGAGTGCTACTAGGTCCTCTCTTTCTTTGCTCCATGAGCTTTATCATACCTCATTTTAAAGCTATGTTTGGTTCCTGCCTCCACTGCCTCACTTGCTAGTGTGTGTGTGTGTGTGTGCGTGTGTGTGTGTATGTGTGTACTCACCTAATTGTACTCGCCTAATTGTGGTTGCAGGGGTCGATACTCAGCTCCTGGCCCCGTCTCTTCACTGATCGCTACTAGGTCCTCTCTCTCTCTGGTTCCTGAGCTTTGTCATACCTCGTCTTAAAGCTATGTATGGTTCCTGCCTCCACTACATCACTTGCTAGGCTGTTCCACTTCCTGACGACTCTGTGACTGAAGAAGTACTTCCTAACATCCCTGTGACTCGTCTGAGTCTTCAGCTTCCAATTGTGACCTCTTGTTTCTGTGTCCCCTCTCTGGAACATCCTGTCTCTGTCCACCTTGTTTATTCCACACATCATTTTGTATGTTGTTATCATGTCTCCCTTGACCCTCCTGTCCTCCAGTGTCGTCAGTCCGATTTCCCTCAACCTTTCTTTGTAGGACATTCTCCTGAGCTCCGGAACTAGCTTTGTTGCAAACCTTTGTACTTTCTCTAATTTCTTGACGTGCTTGACTAGGTGTGGGTTCCAAACTGGTGCTGCATACTCCAGTACGGGCCTGACGTACACAGTTTACAGTGTCTTGAATGATTCCTTACTAAGGTATCGGAACGCTGTTCTTAGGTTTGCCAGGCGCGCATATGCTGCAGCAGTTAGCTGGCTGATGTGTGCCTCCGGAGACGTGCTCGGTGTTATGGTCACCCCAAGATCGTTCTCCTTGAGTGAGGTTTGCAGCCTTTGTCGACCTAGCCTATACTTTGTCTGCGGTCTTCTTTGCCTTTCCCCAATCTTCATGACTTTGCATTTGGCAGGGTTGAATTCGAGAAGCCAGTTGCTGGACCACGTGTCCAGCCTGTCCAAGTCTTTGTAGTCCTGCTTGATCCTTATCCGATTTAATCCTTCTCATTAGCTTCACGTCATCTGCGAACAGGGACACTTCAGAGTCTATCCCTTCCATCAGGTCATTCACATATATCAAAAATAGCACTGGTCCTAGGACTGGCCCTCTGTGGGACTCCGCTCGTCACAGGCGCCCACTGTGATACCTCATCACGTACCATGACTCGTTGTTGCCTCCCTGTCAGGTATTATCTGATCCATTGCAGTGTCCTTCCTGTTATACACGCCTGATCCTCCAGCTTCTGCATTAATCTCCCATGAGGAACTGTGTCGAAGGCCTTCATGCAGTCCAGGAAAATGCAATCAGCCCACCTCCCTCTCTCGTGTCTTACTTCTGTTACTGTGTCATAAAACTCCAGAAGGTTTGTGACACAGGATTTGCCTTCCATGAATCCGTGCTTGTTTTTGTTTATAATCTTGTTTCGTTCCAGATGCTCCACCACTCTCCTCCTGATAATCTTCTCCATGATTTTGCATGCTATACACGTCAGAGACACCGGTCTATAGTTTAGTGCCTCGTTTCTGTCTCCTTTCTTAAAGCTGGGGACTAAATTTGCCGTCTTCCATACCTCAAGTAGTTGCCCAGTTTCAAGGGATGTATTGAAGATTGTGGTTAGTGGCACACACAGCGTCTCTGCTCCTTCTCTAAGGACCCACAGGGAGATGTCTGGACCCCTCGCCTTTGAGGTATCGAGGTCACTTAGAAGCTTCTGCACCTCCTCCTCCGTTGTTTGCATGCCATCCAGCACCTGTTGGTATATTCCCTGTTAGTATTCCCCTCTGTGCTGTCTTCTCAGAGCCATTCCTGTCTCTACTGTAAATACTTCCTTAAATCTCATGTTGAGCTCCTCACATACCTCGTGATCGTTTCTTGTGAGTTCCCCACCTTCTTTCCTCAGCCTGATCACCTGGTCTTTGACTGTTGTCTTCCTCCTGATGTGGCTGTACAGCAGTTTCAGGTCAGACTTGACTTTCGATGCTATGTTATTTTCATACTGTCGCTGGGCCTCCCTCCTTACCTGTGCATACTCGTTCCTGGCTCTTCGACTAATCTCCTTATTTTCCTGTGTTCTTCGCCTTCTATACTTTTCCATTCTCTGTTGCACTTAGTTTTTGCCTCATTACACCGTCGGGTAAACCAGGGGCTCGCTCTGGTCTTCCCATTATTTCTGTTGCACTTGGGAACAAACCTTTCCTCTGCCTCCTTGCATTTTGTTGTTATGTATTCCATCATTTCATTTACCGGCTTTCCTACCAGTTCTCTGTCCCACTGGACCTCTTGCAGGAAGTTTCTCAAACCTGTGTAGTCCCCTCGTTTATAGTCTGGATTTTCCCATTCAACTCCTGTTACCCCCTCCACTTATAACTCTACAATGTATTCACAGCACAGAACCACGTGGTCACTAGCTCCTAGGGGCCTCTCGTATGTGATGTCCTCAGTGTCTGAGCTGCTCAGGGTGAACACAAGGTCCAATCTTGCTGGTTCAGCCTCCCCCCTCTCTCTGGTAGCATCCTTAACTTGTTGATGCATGAGGTTTTCCAGTACCACATCCATCATCTTGGCTCTCCACGTTTCGGGACCCCCGTGTGGCTCCAGGTTCTCTCAGTCGATCTCCCTGTGATTGAAATCGCCCATAACCAGCAACTTTGCTCTGCTCGAGTGAGCTCTTCTTGCCACCTCAGCCAGTGTGTCTACCGTTGCTCTGTTACTCTCTTCATATTCCTCTCTTGGTCTCCTGCAGTTCTGTGGTGGATTATACATCACTGCAATGACTACCTTGTGCTCCCCAGACTGAAGTGTAACTACTATGTATTCTTTTTCTCCAATCTCGCCCATGCCTCCCATTTCCTCAAATTTCCATCGGTGTTTTACGAGCAGTGCAACCCCTCCTCCCCCTCTGCTCCTTCTGTCTTTTCTCAGGATCCGATATCCTGGTGGGAAGACTGCATCTGTTATTGTCTCAGTGAGTTTCGTTTCTGTGACTGCCATGATGTCTGGAGATTTCTCAATGATTCTTTCATACCACTCCTCATATTTGTTCGTTATTCCATCCGCATTCGTGTACCAAATCTTCAACTTCTGTTCCAAAACTGTGGTCCTGGGAGAGCAGGAGCGCTGGTGGGGGCCTATGGGGGTTGTGGTAGAGGCAGAGTTCCCATAGGGAGTTGCTGTAGGGTTGGGGTTCGTGGTGTGGTGGGTGGGGACAGAGGGATCGGTGTGTGATTGTTGGCTTAGATTGTTAAGTTGCCTTGGGGGTTGTCATGGTTGGAGTCCTTCTGCGGGTGTTTCTGGGGGTGGTGTTTGCCCTTCCACCTGTGTCTGGGTTATTCTGCTTGTCTGTGTCGCTTCCTCGCATTCCTCCTTTCGTTTTTGCACTCTCTCTTTCAGTATCCTCCTTTCCTCTTGCGTTCTGTCTCGGTCAGTGTGTGTGTGTGTGTGCTCACCTAGTTGTACTCACCTAGTTGAGGTTGCAGGAGTCAAGTCCTAGCTCCTGACCCCGCCTCTTCACTGGTCGCTACAAGGTCACTCTCCCTGAACCGTGTGCTTTATCATACCTCTGCATAGTGTGTGTGTGTGTGTGT